CCTGTGGTTAAATAAACTATGTTAAATACATACTCTGGGCCAGGCACAGAGGCTCATGCCTGTAATCCCAGCACTTTGGGAGGTCGAGGCCGGTGGGTCACTTGAGGTCAGGAGTCTGAGACCACCAGCCTGGCTAACATGGTGAAACCTCGTCTCTACTAATAATACAAAAATTAGTCAAGCGTGTGTTGGGGGCCACCTATAATCCCAGCTACTCGGAAGGCTGAGGCGGAAGGATCACTTGAACCCAGAAGGCTGAGGTTCCAGTGAGCCGAGATCATTCCACTGCACTTCAGCTTACGCAACAGCCAGACTCCATCTCAAAAAAAACAAAACAAAACAAAACAAAAAACTACGGAATATGATGATGTGATGCAGTAGTTACATAAAACAAAGTAGATCAATTTGTACTGACATGAAAACAGCTATAAGACATATTTTAAATTGAAACAAAACAAAACCCAAGTTACATATTGTCTGAATCTGCTATGGCTGCCATAACAAAATACCACAATCCAGTGGCTTAAACAACAAAAATTTATTTTCTCACACTTCTGGAGGGTACAAGTCTAAGATTAAAGTGTCATCATGGTAGGTTTCTTCTGAGACCTTTTTGCTTGGCTTACAAATTGCTGTTTTCACATTGTCCTCACATGGCCTCTTCTCTGGGCATGTGCATCTCTGGTGTCTCTTCCTTTTCCAATAAGGGCTCCAGTTCTATTGGATCAGGGCCCCATCCCAATGACCTCATTTAACCTTAATTACCTCTTTTTCTCTTTTCTTTCTTTCTTTTTTTTTTTTTTTAGATGAAATCTGGCTCTGCAGCCCAGGCTGGATGGAATGCAGTGATGTGATCTCAGCTCACTGTAACTTCCACCTTCCAAGTTCAAGCCATTCTCCTGCCTCAGCCTCCTGAGTAGCTGGGACCACAGGTGTGTGCCACCATGCCCAGCTAATTTTTATATTTTTAGTAGAGATAGGTTTTCACCATGTTGGCCAGGCTAGTCTTGAACTCCTGATGTCGGGTGATTTACCCACCTTGGCCTCCCAAAGTGCTGGGATTATAGGCATAAGCCAGCACGCCTGGCCCTTAATTACCCCTTTATTTATTATTATTATTATTTTTAGAGATGTAGTCTTGCTCTGTCACCTAGGCTGGAGTGTGCAGTGGTGCCATTTCAGCTCACTGCAACCTTCACCTCCCAGGTTCAAGCGATCCTCGTGCCTCAGCCTCCCATGTAGCTGGAACTACAGGCATGCACCACCATGCCTGGCTAATTTTTGTATTTTTAGTACAGATGGGGTTTCACCATGTTGGCCAAGCTGGTCTCAAACTCCTGATCTCCAGTGATCTGCCTGCCTAGGCCTCCCAAAGTGCTGGGATTACAGGCATGAGCCACCATGCCCAGCCTTAATTACCTCTTCAGATACCCTGTCTCCAAATATATTCACATTGGGGGTTAAGGTTTCAATACCTGAATTTTGGGGGGACCACAATTCAGCCCATAGCACATATATGTATGTATGTGTGTGTCTCATTTCTATAAATAAACCAAGGACACACAACCAAGTTAGATGTTTTCAAAGATACATATCCTAGATTTATATTGATATGCTAATATTATATGTTCTATGTATCCTACATACATATAGTACATTTATATATATACATTATATATTGTACATTAGGCATCATTGTGTGTATACAAACATCTCAGAAGCACACTCAGCAACTTTATATGGTAGTATCCTCTAGGGAGGGAGGTGAGATTGAGTGAGGCTGATGGGAACTTTGTTATTTTTTTGTCTGAAAATTTTTTACATCAAACCTTATATTCAAATACTGTGCCATACATCAAAAAGTACAAAACAGAAACTTGCCTAAGGACACACAGCCCTTCCAAGGCAGAATCTGGACCTGTGGTTGGCAAAGACCCACTTCATTCCATTTTTTCTGGTTCACACTACCCGAGTTTACCTTTTTCCCAACAGCCCCGACCCACCACCCTGGTTATTGCATATCTCTCACCTTTTCTTCATTACCAAGTATCTTGAAATATCACACTCACCTGTCCTTCCTCATGGCCTGGAGTCTCATTCTGTCACCCAGGCTGGAGTGCAGTGGTGTGATCTCGGCTCACTGCAACCTTCATCTCCCAGGTTCAAATGATTCTGCTGCCTCAACCTCCCAAGTAGCTGGGACTACAGGAGCCCACCACCATGCCCAGCTAATTTTTGTATAGACAGGGTTTTGCCATGTTGGCCAGGCTGGTCTCAAACTCCTGACCTCAGGCGATCTGCCTGCCTCAGCCCCCCAAAGTGTTGGGATTACAGGTGTCAGCCACCTCGCCCGACCTTCACTTACTTTTCTGACCTTTATTTCCTAGCATTCTCCTAAATACACCCACTACTTGTTATTTCAACCCTTTAATACGCTTTTCACACTCTCTAAATGTAATGTTGTAGCTGGAATTTTAACACTTCTAGAGTTGCCAGATAAATACAAGACACCTAAAGTTGAATTTCAGATAAACAACAAATGATTTTTGGTGTATGTCTTTCCAATTTAACTGGATGGGCCAGGCATGGTGGCTCATGCCTATAATCCCAGCAATTTGGGAATCTCAGGTAGGCAGATTACTTGAGCTCAGGAGTTCAAGACCAGCCTGGGCAACACAGTGAAATCTCGTCTCTACAAAAAATATAAAATTGAACCAGGCATGGTCACATACACCTGTGGTCCCAGCTACTTGGGAGGCTGAGGTGGGAGGATGGCTTGAGCCCAGGTTAAGGTTGCAGTGAGCCGTGATTGCACCACCACACTCGAGCTTGAACGACAGAGCAAGGTCCTAACTGGATGTCCACATTTTTATTTGCTAAATCTGGCAACGCTATTCCCCACACTTTGTAGCCCTAATACAGTTAGCACTTTCTGTTTTACGTAATTACTTGTGTTCACACAAGAATTAAAAGTTCTGATCAGGCAGGCAGGATATGGGTCTTTCTTTGTATCATCCATAAGGTTGGGCACACAGTAGTAGTTTCCCAGAAGTATTTCCTGAACTCAATAATAGACTGTTTTACAAGGATACAGGAAAATTGCTCCTCTCATTCCTTACCTCATTCCCACCTCCAGCCGTTGTTCTTGATTTTGACTAGGTATTAGTTACCTAATCCAAGCCCTTTTACATTATAACTCCATGTACATAGACTTGTACCAGTTCAAATGGGCTAACTGAAATACAGAGTCTAGTGTGGGTAATCTAAGGGTTCTAGTCTTGGCTCTCCCATTGACTAATGATACAGTATTAGTCTAATTTCATCTCTTCAAGCTTCAGCTTTTCATCTATAAAACAGTAACAAGAAATGCCTTATAGACACTCATGATTAGATCAGATAATCCATGTCAAGCACTAAGCATATAGTTAGGACTCAATGTATACTAAGTATTAGAATATTGAATCTTGGGAGCTTTCCACTTACCGATTCATTAATTTGGTCAAAAAATCTTTGTTGCAGCTTTTACGTGCATTAGCAGGGAACTGTGCTGGTGATGGAAATAGTGATGGGTAAAATAGGCCTATGACCATTCTCATAGCTCTATCTACCAGAGATACAGCCAACAGTTTAAAAAAAAAAAAAAAAGTAATTACAAACTAAAATATTCCATGAAGGGAAATACTGGGGGTTGTAAGAATTTATAAAAGGGGCCCTGAGATAGCTGAGGAAGAGTTTCCTTGAGAAATGATAGTTGGCATTAATTGAAAACACTCACCATATGCCAGTGTATTCGTTTGCTAGGGCTGCCAATAACAAAGTACCACAGACTAGGTGGCCTAAACAACAGAAATTTATTGTCTCACAATTCTGGAGGCTAGAATTGTGTTGTTACCTTAAGGTCTCTCTCTTTGGTTTGTAGATGGCTGTCTTCTCCCTGTGTTTTCACAAAACGATGTAGGAGAGAAAGGCTAATCTATAATCAGAGGAACACAGGCAGCTGCCTGTTATGTGGCTCAGGTTCCATAATGACGTTCCTTTAAGGCGCAAAATAATTTAAAGTTTCAACAGCTTTGATTTTGAATTACGTTCACAGCATTAAAGCATCAAAGAGTAAATAAGACCCAGCAGCTTTGCCTAGCACGTTTCAACAGCTTGACATATTTACATACTGTATCATTCACCCGTCTTAAGTGTACGATTTTTAGTACATGTATAGTGCGACCATCCCCACAATCCAGTTTAGAGGCATTTCCATCCCACCGAAAAGATTCCGAGTACCTGTCTGGTATCAATCCCCTGGCCGGTTCACACCTGCAGACCCAGGTTTGCCTAATTATTTTCAATGTTTTTGCTAAGTCGAAATGACCTTACAGATGCAAGATGACTCTCAAAAGGAAGTCAGGACTAGGATCCCAATGAATATGAAGCATATGTTCATCAGTACACCAAAGTATGCAGAGGCTGGGTCTCTGTATGTCAGAAATTCCTTAATTCACTGCCTAAGCAAAAATACAGGTTGGCTGCCCCACGTAAAATTTATTTTCTAACCGGGGTAAAAGCAGTAAGCACGTGCCCCCATCCCCGGCACCCGTGCATCTGAGGAGGTGAGCGCACTTCCAAGTGGCGGGATTTGATGAGTAATGTTCATCCAAGACAGCACCGGGCGCTGCCGTGTGCGCCTGCGCAGCTTCGCGAGCGCCTAGACACAAGTAGCCCAAATCCTGGCTCGAGATCCGTCTGTTCAGCTGTTGTGGCGCCGCCGTTTGGATCTGAGCGCCTACCCGTGACAGCCAGAGAACCCAGGCTTTCCCTACCACCCCCTCACTTTCCCTACCCAGCGCTCACCAGGAGCAACAAGATGACAAGGCCACGCGCTCGGGCCACCGGGGAAGCCGCTCTCCGCTTAGCCACACCCGCTTGGTCGCTAAAATGCCTAGTCCCTACCCCTCGGGCCGACGCCAGCAGCCACGTATCACGTTTGTACGTGTCTCGGCCTAAAAGCGGAAGTTGCGCAGAGACTCGCGAGCGCTGTGGCGGCCCTGAAAGGATATAGGCCGTGGAGGGAAGGGGGCGGGCAGACGGCATAGGAAGGCGCCGGAAGTGGTCCCGCAGAGGCGGGGTGGCAGTGGGGCTGCCGAGGCAGTGCACTTGGCTGTAGCTGGGCTCCTCGGTTAGGTGCGCTGTCAGTCCTTTCCGAGTGCCTGGCCCAGTTTCTCCCGCCTCGGCCCAACATGGACTTCAGAGAAATTCTCCTGATAGCTTCCAAGGGACAAGGTGTAAACAATGTGCCGGTAAGTAGCAGCTGGGGCGTCATGTAGGGGGACCCTAATCTTCCAAGTTCGGAGTATGTGTGGCCAATGGAACTTCTAGGCAGCCACCTATCGGCTCCGGGAGAGGAAAGACCTGGACGCCTTATTTTCTTTTCTTGGATTTATACTCTTGGGAACTCGGGGGAAAAGGGCTTTGGACGAGATGCGGGAGCCATCCTGTGAATGGGTTTTGCCGGCTTATTTACCCCTGCAACAGGGACTTTGCGGTTTGGGTGTTTTAGTTAGAACTGCGTGAAAGCGGTGAGTGAGCTGTGCCTGGCACGCAGTGGATTCTAGCGCTGGTAGTTTTTGGCTTCGGCATAAACTTCAGCCCAGAGATTGGGAAGGAAGTATGTATGTAAGGGAGTTAGGGGGGTTGGGGGTCCTTGGCCTGATAGCCTTTTGGCTGGTTTCTCATCAATCTTCAAGTCAAACGTTTAGTGATTTCTTGAAAGAATTCTCTGACGCGGCCCCACCCACTCAGCCACCGAGGTGATTAAATTATCACCTCCCAGGAGATGAGTATCATTTTTGGGAAGAGAAGTTTAGCAGATTCCACGAAATTCTTGGCCAACAGAATAGGCGAGCTAGTTTCAGCTTCCGTTTACTTGTAGCCTTCCAGATTTCAGTCTTTGTTTAAAATCTAGGTCCCATTTGCTCAGTAGATGTTTGTCAGTTCGCTTACAGTCGCAAGAGTGGTGTAAGATTTAAATGGTAAAGTGGTGGAGAGCGCCTGGTTTCTGGGGGTTGTGGCTGTTTTGCATAACCTAATCATTTCCAGATTTTCAGATGGTACCCACAGCACAGCTGTAAACCGATAAGTTGCATGGTGATGCCTGCGGTTTGAGCAGTGAGGTGTAGAACTAAAACGACTCTCAAAGTCAATTCAGCTAGAAATGAGCTCCCACGAAGTGCTCTGCATTTCCTAGATATTCGTATATTGCAATATTCATTTTTTTCTCTTCTGCCTCTTTTTTTTTGGTCTTCTGAGGCTAGTTCATTCTTTTATCCCTTTGAAAATATTGATCTGAAAAAGGTCTGTATTTATGTTTATAAATATGTGTATACACACACATACACAGCCATCCCCTATCCCAAGAACTCTGAATAACCATTCCTCTAAGCCGTGAGTCATAAGCTTCGCATGTTGAAGGTATAGAATCAAACCTTTGAAACCCAGATCAACAGATTTACTTTCTAGAAGCATCTGTAAATTTTCCAGATGAATCAATATTGGGTCTAGTTACCATTCATCTTTGCATAATTTGGTCTATATTTCATTCTAGATCTTATTGAATTTCAGTAGAGGTCAAAGACTAGCTTTGATGTCCAGGACTGTTCTATGGAAGAATCAGAACTGTCATTTCTTATTTTGAAAGCCAGTAGCTGCTGGGAGAAAAGCAGACAGATAACCCTAAAGCAGAAAATTTCAAAATATGTGTATATTTCATAATATATGCATTATCTATGATTGGAATAACAGAGGAATCAAAAAGGGGGAAAAAGTAATTTAAAATTTAATAGATGGCCGGGTACAATGACTCACACCTGTAATCCCAGCACTTTGGGAGGCCTAGGCAGGAGGATCACCTGAAGTCAGGAGTTCAAGACCAGCCTGACAAATATGAAACCCTGTCTCTACTAAAAATACAAAAATTAGCCAGTCATGGTGGTGTGCGCCTGTAATCCCAGCTGAGGCTGGGACAGGAGAATCGCTTGAACCCAGGAGGCGGAGATTGCAGTGAGCTGAGATCCGGCCACTGTACTCCAACCTGGGCGGCAGAGCGAGACTCCGTCTCAAAAAAAAAAAAAAAAAAAAATTGATAATATAGCCATATATTTTATGAATCATGCATTCTCTGACCCCTCCCCGCCAAAGCTAGTAAGCCTAGAAGTTTGATTTAGTTACCAGCATTATAATTCTTATCTTTTTACATGAAATTAAAGTCACAAAAGAAACTATTTGAGGAATAGACCCATAAGACTGTAGTTAAATTTCTTTCTTTTTTTTTTTTTTTTGAGATGGAGTCTCACTCTGTCGCCCAGGCTGGAGGCTGGAGTATGGTGGCATGGGTTTAGCTCACTGCAGGCTCCACCTGCTGGGTTCAAGCAATTCTCCTGCCTCAGCCTCCTGAGTAGCTGGGACTACAGGCGCTTGCCACCACATCAAGCTAATTTTTGTATTTTTGGTAGAGACAGGGTTTCACCATGTTGGCAAGGCTAGTCTTGAACTCCTGACCTCAAGTCATTCGCCCAATTTGGCCTCCCAAAGTGCTGAAATTACAGGTGTGAACCACCACACCCAGCCAAATTTCATGCTTTACTTGATTTGCAGTAACTTGATTCATCTAACTATTCCATTTACTTTTTCTTTATCAGCTTAATTTGGACACTTTCAAACATAAGGAATGTTAACGCATTTCTTATATACCCAAACCCCACATTTAGCATATTAACATTTTCACATATTTATTCCATCTATTTTAAAATAAATAAAGCTTTTTTCTTTTTTTGCTATCTATTTTAAAAGAAATAAAGCGTTTTTTCTTTTTTTTTTTTGTTATCTATTTTAAAAGAAATAAAGCTTTTTCTTTTCTTTTTTTTTTTTTTTTTGAGATGGAGTCTCTGTTGCCCAGGCTGGAGTGCAGTGGTGAAATCTTGGCTCACTGCAACCTCCGCCTCCCAGGTTCAAGCCATTCTCCTGCCTCAGCCTCCCGAATAGCTGGGAATACAGGGGTGCACCACCACGCCCAGTTGATTTTTCTTTTTTTTTTTTGTATTTTAATAGAGACAGGGCTGGTATCAAACTCCTGGCCTCAAGTGATCAGCCCACCTCAGCCTCCCAAACTTGCTGGGAGTATAGGTGTGAACCACTGAGCCAGGCCTGTCTTGAAATGTTTCTTGACTTGGATGGTGGCTTACAAGGATACTTGCTTTGTAATAATCTCTTACACTGTACACTATGTCTATGATATTTCACAATTATAAAAACAAATAGAGAGTTGGGGACTATCATATCAATTAACAGCTTTATTTCTGGCCGGGCGCTGTGGCTCACACCTGTAATCCCAGCACTTTGAGCTTTGAGAGGCCAAGGTGGGCAGATCACCTGAGGTCAGGAGTTCGAGACCAGCCTCTCGAACGGGGTGAAACCCTGTCTCTACTAAAAACACAAAAATTAGCCAGGCATGGTGGCACACACCTGTAATCTCAGCTACTCAGGAGGCTGAGGCAGGAGAATGGCTTGAACCTGAGAGGCAGAGGTTGCAGTAAGACAGAGGTTGCAGTGAGTGGATGGAGATCATGCCCCTGCACTCCAGCCGGGGTGACAGAGCGAAACTCTGTCTCAAATTAAAAGAAAAGAAAAAAAAAAAAGACAGCTGTACCCCCTCCCTGCCCTATAAACACCCTGCTGAGATGAACTTACTTGATTAATTGATCTGAGAACCACAGAGGCTTTGCAGTAACAGCTAGGCTGCATCTCTCTATATTGATTGGTTCAATTTTTCCCTGTTCGCCAACTCCTCCTCCCACCTTCATTTGGAACCTATCAGAGCTAATGCTCAGAATTTAAGTCTTCAGAGTTCTTAGGTCAGACCTTTACTATGCTAAGGAAATCCAGTGACTAGCAATTATTAGACTAAAATTCAAACACCTGTACAGCCACTCAGCCCTTCAGACTCTTTGCAGAGCTTTTTGTTGTTGTTATTGTTTTGAGATGGAGTCTTGTTCTGTCACCAGACTGGAGTGCGGTGGCGCTGTCTCTGCTCACTGCAACCTCCGCCTTCTGGATGCAAGTGATTCTCCTGCCTCAGCCTCCCGAGTAAGCGTGGGATTACAGGCGCGGCCACCACACCCAGCTAATTTTTGTATTTTTAGTAGAACGGTTTTCACCATGTTGGTCAGGATGGGTCTCCAAGTCTCCTGAGCTCCATGATCCACCCTGCTTCGGCGTCCTAAAGTGCCGAGGATTACAGTGTGAGACACTGCGCCCAGCAGAGCTTTATTTTATTTTTATTATTTATTTTTTTTTTGAGACGGAGTCTTGCTCTGTCGCCCAGGCTGGGGCCGCAGTGACCCGATCTCGGCTCACTGCAGCTCCCCTCCCCGGTTTATGAGTGCCATTCTCCTGCCTCCACCCCCCGAGTAGCTGGGACTACAGGCGCCACCCCACCGTCGCCCGGCTATTTTTTTGTATTTTAGTAGAGACGGTTTCACCGTGTTCGCCAGGGATGGTGCTCCGATCTCCTGACCTCGTGATCCGCCCGTCTCGGCCTCCCAAAGTGCTGGGATTACAGGCTTGAGCCACCGCGCCCGGCCAGAGCTTTATTTTTTAAAGGTACCTGTTGTATCTGTCTTGAGAAGCTATGAGTATTTCCCTAATCATCATTTTTTTTGTTTCTTTTTAACAGAAATACTTTTTTATGTAAAAGGTAGAATTGCATCAGGCCCAGAAATATTAGGCACACTATTATTTCCCGGTGGAAAACTGAATACATAATAACCGCTGATTCAGGTGATGAAACAAGTTGTTGTCACTGGCTCTGTTTATATATAAAGGACGAAAGGTATTTTTGGTAAACTTGCACTTGATTTTCCTCCCTGGGTTCCAGTAGGAAAAACAAAGTAGTTTAACTTGTTTTGGTAGAATACTAGAGCTTAGAATGTGGATTCTTACAGACTTCACATAGCTGTAATTTTTTTTTTTTTGAGACAAAGTCTCACTCTCGCCCAGGCTGGAATGCAGTGATGCGACCTGGGCTCACTGCAACCTCTGCCACCCGGAGTCAAGCGATTCTCCTGCCTCAGCTTCCTGAGTAGCTGGGACTGCAGCTGTGCACCACCATGCCCAGCTAACTTTTGTATTTTCAGTTAAGAGATGGGGTTTTGCCATGTTGGCCAGGCTGGTCTCGAACTCCTGGCCTCAAGTGATCTGCCTGCCTTGGCCTCCCAAAGTGCTGGAATTACAGGCGCGAGCCATG